TTCCGAAGGCAACATAGTGAGGTAATACCCTAGGGGTGCAAGTATGCAAAAGTGTGCCTTTTTCAGATACATTTATCTTGAATTTAGTGATCTATTACTTAATTGAGCATACACGCCTAGGTTGCTAACAATTATATACAAAATATAAAACATAAAAGCAAGAAATAAAGGCCCTAAGCTATTACAAGGCTTTGGTGTAGATACATAAGAAATTTGACTGAAAAAATAAAGTGCGGAAATAAAAACCCTAATTAATCTATTACAAACTGGGCACAGTTACATCATTAATAAAAATTAATCGTACGACAAATATAATTACGCGCGAGAATTGAAACAAGTTTGAAATAAGTTTGAAACCCTAAAAAACCTAATTTGATCAATGAAAATATTTTTTAGGATTTTTGTGAAAAAGATTTGAAGTTTGACCTAATTTTTCTAATTAATTTTAATTAATGAAACAAATTATAATTGATGAAATTAATTAATTTACAAAAATTAATTTATTGAGAAAAATACTAAATCCTATTTTTTGTAATGTTGATTTTTTATGATTTTATGGAAAAATTAATTTAAACAAAGTAAATAATCTAATTTAAATAAAACAAAATTAAAAGGGAAAAAGAGTAGGCCTGAGGGGTGTAAGCCCAAATTGTAGGGTGCATGCTGGATTTCTGTTCAAGGCCCAATCCAGTTGGCCCATAGCTGCGCGTGATTCAGTGTGGTTGTCCCAGGAGTGTCCATCATGGGGAGCTTCGTTGGGAGCATTGGATCCAAGCGTTGATTGATCCAAGGATAAGGATATGGGGGTCTATGATGTGCGCGCTTGGAAAGGAGGCATTGAACCAACATAGAAATATTAGGAAAAATAACATGTAGGAGGCAGGGATCGAACCCCTGACCTCCTACACACGCGCGCTGAAAAGCATTTCCCTTTTCCACTGAGTCAATCGTTCAATCGTTAACACAAGCAAACAAGATACATTATATGTGACGAAAAGTCAATGGCTGTAATAAAAAACGCGCGCCATTCAAACCACCTAACCAGGTTTTGACATGCAGTCATCTTCTTCGTTAAGACTGTCGTTTTAGCCTAAAGGTTTTACCTACAGACAACGATGTAGCTACAAACCTGCACATCTCAAAAATCATAATTATGCAATATAAATTCAAATCAAATATGCAGATCATTTGGGTTTGATCTCGTGAGCACGATGGTACTCATCGTTCGTCATGATTTTTCCTGAAACGAAAGACCCTAAAAAACAAACTTGAAACCCTAACCATGGATTCAATCAAATATGCATCGAAACATATAATTAATCATGCAGATATTTTCTAAATAATCATACAAACATGAATATGTATTTATAAATCATTGATCATGCATATATTTCAAAAACCAATTTAAAGAACCATGGCAAACCGTGATACCTGTATATACTGTTTCTTGATATGCTAATGCGTGAGAGTGGTCTAGAAAGCTCCCAAATACGCCTAGGAAGGGGTTGCAGTCTTTGAAATGCCTTGAATCTCCCTCTAGAGCAAAACTCGTTCCACACTTTATGTCAAAATTCTGAACAGTCTTGAGTGTTCTACACGGCCAAAAATTCCTTTTCTTTGATCAGGGTTCATTGTGTATATATAGTAGACTAAATTAGATTAACAAATTTGAAATAAATCTTGAAGATTGAGTGAGAAAAGATTGGATTTGTCTTGTATCTTTTGTTTCTAAAATGGCAAAATCTTTGTGTGTTTTTCCCACGCGTTTTCCTAGATTTGCCAGCCTGCTTCAATCTTCTTTCGATTATGGGATTTCTTACTTGTTTTAGACCATGTCCCAGCTTCATTCCTTTGAATGCCTTCCTTGCCAGCCTTACTTCTATTCGAACTAATCAGGAATTTCCTTATTAGAACCTTGCTTTCTTTGATGGTTCTGAGTAGAACTGTGTCAACTTCAATACTAAGACTTCTTCGATTGGACCCCCATTTGCTTCGATTTCCTGTCCATTTAAAGAGAAGTCTCTAGTCGAATCAGCTCTTGTGGCATTGTGACCCAACAAGGCAAGACTCTGGCCTGGACATATTTTTAGAGTGCCCTATTGATGGCCTCTTTTAAATGGCCTGGAGGGAGTCCTTCGAAGGGTCCTAGTCCAAGTACCAGTCGAAGGGTATTTACTGGAATATCAAACAAAGAGTCCTTTGCTACGCCAAACGAAAGGCTTTGACACCATGCCCATCGAAAGGCTTGTCATAAGGCCAATCGAAAGGCCTTCTACAGCTGTCAGTCGAAGGACGCTATGTATACGTAATCGAAGAGCGCTATATAGATGGCAATCGAAGGACGCTATATAGATGGAAATCAAAGGACGCTATATAGATGGTAATCGAAGAGCATTTTGGATATGCTAATCGAACGACACTTATTAGGTACCAATCGAAGAGCCTCGTTAACAGGCCAATCGAAAGCAACTTAAAAATAGGCCAATCGAAGGAAACTTAGAACCAGGCCAATCGAAGGAAACTTAGAAACATCATTTGAAAAATTTCCTTGTCTTTAGGCAAAGGTTTGTAACCACCTATGCAAGAGGAAAATCTTGAAAAATATGAGAGGGCAAATTTTGGGGTGCAACACAGTGATGTTAGGGTTTTACAATCGTTGGGGGTATACATTCAATAAAGTCTGATTCCTCGGGTTGTTCAAGCAGGGAAGTGTGAATTAGGATTTTGGAAGTATAGTTATCAGACACCTTTTCTTCAAGGGATATTCTTCATCCAATTTCGTCAATACCAAATATTAGGGATTATTTCCCTACACGAGGCCAACAGAGTAGGTTTCTCATCCACAGTGTTTGAGATTTGTTAATATTCAACCAAGGTTCATCGAGAGGGAAGCTTAGTTTGATTTTGATCAATAGAGAATTGCAGCGAGGTTTCATTCAAATGACTCCATGAGATCAATTTATTCAAAAGCATAAGATGGGATTTGGTTCATGACTAAATTTAGAAATGGTATATTCATTTGAATGTCATGGCATACAAATTACTTTGATTTGAGGCATAAATATTTATGTTCATCATCCATTATTCAAGATGTAAAGTTCATTCAAGACAATTCATTCAAGTCAAGATTCAAATTCCTACATGAAAATACATATGTTACAATTCAATCACACATTACATTACATCCCAAACCTCACCTTCTAACAGACTTTCAACATCCAAATTACTAACAATCATCAACTTTTTTACCAACTAGCTAACCCAATTCTCATTTACCTACCCAATTATCATTCACATCTCAGCTTACATTAACACAGAAGTCCAATTTAGTTCTAACCAATTTTCATTACCAAGTTACTAATAGTTCTTTTTACACTTGACTATCTATAAACATAATTCATAATGAACTATTAACCCTACTACAATAGGCCTCAAAGAAGAGCCATGACCAGAAACTTGCAGCATTAGAACCAGGAAATACAAGCGAATGTACCAGGGCAGGAAAATGGAAAAAGTCAGAGGACGATTAACTCAGAATTTACAGCTTAGCATCAGGAGAAAATAAAAGGAAAATATTTGAGAATTATCAATAACAGCTCAGCATTTTGACTCAAGAATCAAAAACTTTGTTAAGCTATAACAAAATTGAAATGATATAATAGAATTCTAAAAACAGAAGAAGGAAATTCACGATTGAGAAGCAAGAGAAAAATCTCTCTCTCTCTCTCAATTCATAATAATTGCATATGAAAGATATCATGAGACAAAAAGATTCAATTCCCAAACAAAAGTAATCTCATGGTAATTGATAAACAATTTTTTGCATTAATTTATGATAATCATTTGCGTGGTCAAGATTCATGATATTGAATTTAGTTTAATTATATTTATATCTTTTTATAATCAATAACATGTCATTTATATTGTCTAAAAATTTCAAAAATATAATAATTAAGAAATAAATTATATAACAGAAACATAACATAGAAAATGGACAATTAAGTCGTCGTAATTGATAACACAATATATATATATTTATAGAGAATTCAAAGTCTATCGTTTTATTTTATTTTACCATATTTTTAATGAAAATTTTCAACAATCAACATTTTTTATAAAATATAACTCATTATGTGTGTTTCAATTATTATTTTATATTTCATTTGAATTATAATATATAAAAATTAATTATTTAATTTTTATTGAACAAAAATTTAAATTTAAAATAAAATAATAAATACAAACACATTTTATGATCGTTAATCGTGCGGATCACATTCTAGTAAATTTAATTAAAATCAACATATTACAAAAGTAAATAAAAAGAAGAGAAAAAAATAAAATAGTATTTCCTTATTCTCTTTGAGTGTGTTTTATATTGTGGTATAGATTTGTTTTTATGACATAGATGTAAATCAAAAGTAATTGAAAAATCATATGTTTAAATAACAATAACAGACATTTACCATAAAAATTAAAGAATATAAAAATTCTAAGAAAAATGACATTGTTATTCATATTAAATAATATTCATAACAATTATTCTTTTATTATAAGTATTTTTATTTATTTATATTACATATTTAGATTATCACTAGGTCCGTTTGATTTTTAAATTAGTAACAATAATAATTAACATATAAATAATACCTAGCCTTCACTAGTCATTTGAATGTGGAAGTTAACTAATTCTTGAAGTGTCATTTTTAGTAAAAAAAAAAAATTCATTTCATTTTCTAGTATGAATGAACTAAATAATCCAAACAATTTAATCCACAAAATGTTCATAACTTCAATTCATTTTGATCCACAAACTAGTCTTAATGTATTTTTAGATGACACATGCTCTCCAAAAGAACCATAAGAAAGAGCAAGAAGTGGAGACAGTGAGAACCCATAATTATATAGATAGTAGTGTTTCTTATATAGTTTTCAAATTCGAGTATCATTATCATTTAATTTACATTGAAAAATTGTTTTGTTATTAAAAATAAAGAAAAATGCAGGCCGTGAAAGATAAGCTCCAAGACATGAATGCCATGCGCAAGGCCAAAGCAGAAGCAAAGGCCGAGGAAAAGGTAATAAACATGTTTTATTTAACTGCGGTTTAACTGTAATAAACATGTTAAGTTATTTAGTCGTGACAAATTTTAAATCATGTCTTATATTAAGAGGTTTTATTTAATCGTGAAAAATTTTGAACCCTGTCTTATGGTGCAGGCGGAGAAGGAAATTATGCAAGCCAGAAAGGACATAGCTAAGGAGGTTAGATTGGCAAAAGAAGCTGAAGCAGCTATGGACTTACATGTGACAAAAGCAGGAGAAAGAGCAGAGAAAGAAATACAAAAGCATGCACCCATTGATCCAAATGCAAATTCAGTAAATACAGTTGATACAATGCAACCTCCATCAGATAATCCCACATACACAGCTATGTGATCAAAAACATGCCTCAAATATGCATGGAGTGGATCATTAACATATAGAAAGATTTTGCAATCAAGAAAATAGATATTATGAAATTTATTAATCTGATTTTTGGAGGATTTTTTTGGCTACCTAAAATAATACTTATTATGTATTCATTTTAAGCTTTTTATGTAATAATGTAACAAGTTAATTATTTTAGCATGTGTAAGTGTATGTCATTAATTTTTTTTTAAAATTATGTGGAAAAAAGTTTATGGATATGTTATTTATACTATATAACTATAACATTATGTTTAACCACCCTACATATATATTAATCAAGTCCTATAACTAACTTACATGAAGAAGAATGTGTGTTAAAACTTTAATTGATTATCAATCTAAAATATATTTCAGGACATGTGGTCAATTATAGGAAGAAAGTTTGAGAAGAATTTCATATAAATGTGGATCAATTATAGGAAGAAATTATATTTTAGATTGATTCAGGAAGTGTGGATCAACTTTGAGAAGAGAGAGATGAATTCAAGAAGAAAAGAGAAATTAAGGTTCGAGAGAAAAGGGGAAAACAAAGAAGTAAATTCTGTTGAGGTTCTCTCTGTTTTCAAACTGAAATTTTATTCAATTTTTCTTCACACTTTACAATGATAGGGTACATACCTATTTATAATTGAGTTTACTAGTTTACCAAGCAAACTCTAACTAACTAACTCAGCTAAAAGATACGGAAAATGTTAAATTTAAATCTGTCGAGGCTAACTCATTCGACAACTACATGATTCGACTACTACATGCATTTTGACAACAACTTGGTGCATTTTGTAGCGATAAAAAATGTAGCGGGGTAAATCGGAGATCGAATTATTGATTAATTCGTCTCACAAAAAGCAAGAGTCGCCACCGCGCTTTATTGTTTCCAAAGGAAAAGGGAAAAGAGCGAAATAAAACCCTAAATATGCAATGTAAATAATACTTTTAAAAGTAATAAGAATACAAGGCGTTTTTGAAAAGAGATCTATGGTTCGGGGGTTGGTTATACAATGGGAAGGTATTAGCACCCAATGCATCTATAGTACTCTATAGGAACCTTTTGAAATATCTGTTTTATTTAAAATTGATTGCTTGATTGAAAATAAATCGTTTTGGCCGAAAAGGGATACGGACGGGTTTTTTGAAGATACGACGACCTAATGTCGAAGTTTTTGCTTAAAAGGTATAAGTCTTGAAAAGGTTGCAATTTTGATGGAAGGTGAATATTTGAGGAAAAATTATCCTAAGTTTTAAATAAAATGCGAAAATTCGCGCAGTTAGACTTGGAGACATGAAGTCAACAAATTTACTGTTTTTCCTTTGGATTTAAGCATAAACTGAATAAACAAATAAATACACAAAAAAAAATATGCGAATAATGATTAAATAGCAATAATCTAAATGATGGAATAAAAGATGCGAACAATGCATTTTTATGATTTTTTTTCTATTTAATGCTAACGGGAAGAAAGTATTTTAAATTTTTACGCATTTCTGATAGGGATAAAATAAAAGGATTATTTAACGAGGACGTGACGTTTTTTTTTAGTTTTAAGTTATTAAGTTTTTTTATATTTTTTTGATATTAATATTAAGACAAGAAAAAGGAGTTAATGAAATATTTTTTAGTTTTTTTATTTTATGTGTTTTAGATTTTTATCTATTTGATAATGACGTAAGAAAGATTAATTAATTACTAAAGTATTGATAACCTTAAATCCCATATTTTTTACGCATATAAATAAAATAATTATATTTAAAAAAAATAAAGGGGGGGTTCCAAATTAGATTAAAAAAACTAGCAATTTATCTTGATGAAATAAAAATAAAATCTTTATTGTTAAATCAAGAATTTTAAATTAAGAGGTCAACTTATTTTAAATAAAACCTAGTTAGACATGTTTTGTTCTTTTTTTTTTAAATGTAATTATTAGCTAATTAATATAATTAACACTTCCTAAAAATGGATTAAAAAACAAAAAGAAATATGTTAAGAATAAACAAGCCAAAATGGATGGGCCAGGGAGCTGGAGGTCCAACACGGTTCACAAACGTGAGGGAGGGTGCAAAAGGCAAGTTGTGGGCTTAAGGGGAAAAGGGAGGCCCAAGAGCTAACGCAGTATTAGGGTTAAGATGTGTTTAACACATTTGGGATTTAGGGTTAAGCTTATGGGACAGAAACGGCGCTCACGATCTTCATCTCTCTCGCGCAGCTTCTTCATTTTTCGCCTCCAGTGTTAACATTTCCTTGTTCCGGCCACCCACACTAAGCTCTTCTTCCCTCCATTGTTGACGCTTCCTTCTTCCGGCCATTCACGCTAGGCTCTTCTTCCCTCCATTGTTGACGAAGCGGCTTAAGCAGGGACGGTAAGGACAAGCTTCTCGTTAACATTAAATTTGATTCGCATGTTGATTTTTACAATTTTATTGTTAATTTTACGGTTTCGTTGTTGATTCTGACTAGTTTTCATATTTATCTGCCCATGTTGATTTGAATGCCATTTAAGGAATAAGGAGGAAGAAAGCTTGTTACCTAGGTGGAGAAGGAGGAGGAGCTGGGGGTGATGGAGGCCGGACAGCAGGGAGACGGCAGGCGCACACGGTGGCGAACGGTATTTGCGATTTTCCTCTTCCTCTTGCTTGAACGTGCTACTGTGTTTGTTTTGCTTTTCTTGTTGGTCTGGGTACCGCTACTTTGTTTCTTCCTTCTTCTTCCTGAGCGTGATATTGCACTTGTTCTTCTTGAAACTTGTTGAAACTGTACTTTGTTTCTTTCTTCTTCTTCTTGAGTGTGATACTGCACTTGTTCTTGTCGGTCTGAAAAATGGTTTGCAGGAATGATGTTGGCTTGAGTGATTGTTTGAAAGGCCAATGAGGTTGAACTGAGGCTTAGTCGGTTGTGTAGAAATTTTCAGGTTGCTGGATGGATAATGCACAGGTTTGGGCAATGGTTGGACATGATGATGGATGTGGGATTTCTGTGTAGTTTTTCTGATGTTTTTTGATGACAGGGGATGATGATATTGGCTCTAGAGGCTCAATCGGTTGTGTAGAAATTTTTTGTATGGTTTGGAAATAGTTTTCTCAGTATGATTATGCAGGTTTTTCAATCTCTATGGTTTTTCTTTGGAGGCTTTGATATGTTCTGCTTATTTTGGTTTTTTTGCTTTGTTATGTAATATAACCACTCTTCCCTCTTCTTTTCGCTACAGGCCAGGAATTTGAAAACAAATGCCTTGGGATCTCCCTGAGCATTCTGCACTATGCTGACCCTCCAATTTTGTTTCTATTCTTATTCTGTGCTATTAATTCTACTGACTACATTTTTATTTGTCTTGTATAACCACTTCTGCCTATGCTAAGCCTGCAAATCCCACACTTCTCTCTCTCTTTTTTTTCTCTCAGCATGGCTTTGACAAAAGGATGATAAGCTGTACATGCTCTGAAAATGTAATGGCTGAAAAATGATGAAAAAAAGGAATTTTGTGTTGCTTGCAAAAATGGTCAAACTGCATATTTGCTTTGAATACAAATGTTGTTTGTTTCCTGCTGTGTAGGCAAAGGTTAAATGGGCATGCTTGCATATGTGGTTACTGCATATTTGTTTGCTTATGCTGTATGCTTTTTGAAATTACATTTAGGATTTTGAACAAAATGTAATTAGTTTAAATATGCAGTTTTGGAAAACAATTTGTGCATATTCTTTGAAATTCTTTTCTTTTTTTTGTGAACCGGGAGTAATCCCGTGATTTGCAAAAACGAAATAATAACTGATTCCGGCCATTACATTTAATGATGAGCACTAAATTCATTTTTTGCATTTTAAATATTTATTCGAATTCTAATTTCTTTCGTTTAATTGCAGGTAACATTAAATGAGCGGACAAAACGCATTGGATCGGAAGCTTTAGAATTAGGATAGATTAGTTTTTTTTATTTCATTTTAATTTTTGGCAATTCATTATTGTAATCTACTGTAATATATACAATATTTACAAAATAACTTGTACAAGAAAAATGAATAAAAGAAAACTATTCGTCCATTAAGTTCTTCTTCTTTATTTATTTATCGTTTATTATTTTTCCACACGAATAATAATTGAAACCAAATTTCAATTACCTACATTCAAAATAATAAACAGATAAATAATAATTATCATTGACCAACTAATATCTTCGATTATTTAATCCATCATTCCCAACTAAATTGTAATAATTAAAATAGGATTTCAATTATTTAACTTAGAATGACGAACGATTAAACAGTCGTTATTGACCAATGAATTTCCTCAAATGCTTATTTATATTATTCATAACCTTTAAATTATGTAATAACTAAGAATAAATTCTAGTTACTTAAATTTAAAATAATGAGTAAATAAATAAACCGTCCACACAATTAATGCGCCTCTTCTATGATGTTTATTTTATTATCCATACATCTTTAAACTAAATAATAATCGAAAAAATGGATTTCAATTATTTAAATTTTAGATAATGAACAAATTAATAAACATCATTTTTTTGCACGAATCAATTAAATGATTTAATGTTCAGCATAGATAGCTCCTGGCCTGAAAAAGTCATGGATTTTGAAATCGATGGATCAAAACAAATGTAATGTAAATATGCAGGTAGGAGACGATATCTTAGGTCAAAATTTGGGGTACAACAGCTGCCCCTATTTAAGTTTCTTCTATCCGGAGATATGAAGATTAAAATCTTCGTTTCGACGTGATTGAAGGTACTTAAATACATAATTACGCAAATTTTGTCCTAAGATGCCGTCCTCATGCGGTGGTATGAATGTAGTGCTTGAATTCACAGAGCAAGATATTGTATGAAACAGGACAATGTTGGAGGAATCGAACACCAACAAAACACAGAGACATAAGGTGTACGCTACTGGGGAAACGAACTATCGACTTCAAAAGACAGACTCTTGACAGCGAATAAGGTCGAGGGAAAACAACCTCTAA